CCCCCCCCCCCAAAAGACTTAATACATTATTCAGCCTACAGTGCCTAGTTTCTGCACTGGCAGTATCAGGTGAGTCATTCTTGACTATGCAAAGTAAACTAAGGGTGCTATCATCTTCCATCTCGTATCAGAGCCCACCAGTTTTCATATTATCTGAATACCAGAGATTTAGTTGAAATGCGGTAGTACAGTGAGGCAATATTCTTTCATAATCAATGATATCTTGTATGTGTATCATATATATACAAATAACATATAGCAATGACATTGGACATTATCAACGCTTTTATATTGTGTTTTTGTTTTTTTAAAGATCACCATCAGGTATTGATTTTGTTCATTTTATGACTTGAGTGTTTTTTGTTTTTTTTTAACTGTTTATTGTATATTTGTAACAATATTTGTATGTTTTCTGTAATATGATAGAAATTGTTTGATATGAGGGAAATTAGTAGAAGATGTATAGTATATTCATGTTTTATTCTATGGGGGAAAAGGTTTTGTATATTTTAAATTTCCTGGTGACTGGTGGGGGTGATAATCAGGATGACATTCAGAGAACTGTTGTTTATATATAGACTTTGACATATTGTATAGTTTGCTGTGCCCTCAGAAAAACCTTTTTACTTAAACCCATACACATTATACATGTAAGTCATTTCAGGCCCCTAGTTTGATAAATTATTAGTTCCTGTTTCAGTGTGGTCATCTAACATCACATCTCTTACCAGCAGAGTTAGTACAACAATGATTGTTGGGGATTCTTATTATAATTTGGCCATTTTAAGATTTATACTAAAATTAGATCAGTTGTGACACTTGATAACTAAATCCATACACTTGTATCAATACATTATATTTCTGTTAAGTTTGGAAATAGACAGAAATATCAGCTTGTTGTTATTTACAGTTTTATGGTTTGTTAGCAGTGATTTGTTTTTTGCACAAGTGCAAGATTTACCTATAACTATAGGAACCATGCATCAATAACACATTTACATGTGGAGATATTTAACATGCATGTCAACGTGACCACCCCTGCAGTCCCAGACACTTGTTTTGAAGTACAGACTGCAGCATCTTCTGATTATATTACATTGGAGGCTGTTCGTTAAGTGGTCCGGATTTGTGTTCTCATTAGTACTACATTTGTTACTTTATTATACACTTAATTAGTGTTTTGGCTCGTCGAGCCCCATATTATTTCCAGTACTGGCAGTAACGTTAAGCTCATTTGTATAGCCAATGTTTGCTATCATTTGCTAGAAAGTACATGATGTACAACTACTTTATGTTTAATAAGATACACGTGCATGAGATTTGGGGAATTTACAGCATGCAACCAGAGGCCAAAAATATTCAGGTTTTCTGGTCGTCTTAAATGTCAGTTTGATCATGCACGTCTCAGCTGTTTTGGATTTTTATAATAATGGATAATTTTAGACAAAATGAAAGAAAAATTCAACGTTTATGAAAAAACACAATAAATGCACAAATTTAATAGTTTTAAAATAAAAATCTACCATTGCAAAATCAAACTGACCAGAAACTTTTTTTGGCCTGTTAGCAACAACTTATTGATTCCTAAGTGCACTGCTTAAAGAAAGTTGTGACAGAACATATCAATTTTGTATGTGGAAAAGAAAGACTGCCGTCTTGTTAGCTAGCATGTTATTAAGCTAATTCAAGATGTCACTAATTTAATAGAAGGTATATTCTCACAATGTGATTGTTGGCACTTTAGCTAAATTAAGATTCAATTAATTCATGCATGGAGACAAGTTCGCTAAAATGGCATTGTATGTTCTGAATGAAGAGGTTCTCATATTATATGATCCACCCTTCATAGAATCTGAAATATTAGAGCTGATCGTTTAGGAAAAGATCAATGATATACGCTCCTTTCCAATCCTACCTATACAAGTAGATGATATCACATGCTTTGGTACCATGAGAAAAGCAAGCACTGTTTCCCCTCATGAGAACCATGAATGTAAATGCTACTTGGAGTACATTATTAGTTTGTAATTGTTTTTCACATCTAGTTATGAAAACTGTTCAACTAGTAAACATCTTGCGATAGTGATATTGTCAAACTTGCATGCACGTCAGCAATCATGCTTTCCATGTGGTACTTTTAAGAGAATCTTATCCAAGACTTGTTTATTTCCTAACAAGAACTGAACAGTTTTGTTTGTGTTCAGTTGTTACGTTATTAAATAATTTTTGATCAGGATGTAACTGAAATCATTGAAATGTTTTTGTTTTTTCCCAGAGCAGTATTTATTTCTTTTGACACACTCTCTGGACAGTGTTTTTTCCCTGATTGAACTGAAATACATACCTAGTTGTTATCTTGTATGCAATCGTTAATAAACAAAACTGTTTGTATACTTGAATTGTGGTATATATTAAATAGCCAAGGTTGACAATCGGCTCTGAAGGTCTCTAAAACTGTATGTCTACAGCTATCATACCGAAATTGTGGCAAACTTAAGTTTACGCTCGTAGAATGCATGTATGAACACAAATATACAAGTTGAAAGAGTTCAAGAGCAGTGATTGAATTCTATTAAGTTCTATCATGGACGCCTGACGAAGAATTGATTTTTGCAACAACATCCTGCGCAGTCCTGTGCGTAGCTATACGCTACATTGCGTTCCAGTTTGCATTACATGTAGAACACTGAAACGGAGCTGCATACTGCTCGAGTATAGGTTTATGTCAACACCGTTCTCTTTCAACAAGTACACATACAAAAATGTTAACCTCTAATACGGTAATCTGATTGGCTGTCATGGTCATGAGGTATAATAATACTGAATGGCAATCGGATATAACCCTAGTTGCACGTGATGGTCAATACAAAGCACACAGAGGAATCTTTGCAGTTACCCTGTGTGTATGTCCGTCCCACTGATATCTCAAAAACCGCATGTTGGTTTTTAATGAAACTTGCGCAGATTTGATTAGGTTTTGGTTGAAATCCATGCATATTAATTAGCTAGTTGTTCCGATATCTATAGAGCCATTCATTGGATTTTGAGAATTTGTACACAGATGCCCTGGACTAATGCACAAATTCAATCATATCATAAACCTAATTTGCATAAGGATTATCAATTTTCGGCTTTTCAACTGATATCTCAGGTACTGATAACATTTCAATGAACAGACATATGTGAAATATTAATTAATCAATTTTCAGCTTTTGATATTTCAAGTCCTATCACTTCATTACATGTATTTTCAATGAAACTTGGTACATAGATTTTCTAGAACAATGCAGAGACCTGATTAATTTTGGGTAAAAATGTGTGCATATTAATCAACTAATTTGCAGCTCTTAGACTGATATCGCAAGTACCGGTACTAATTATCCCATTTCAATAAATCCTGGTACATAGATGTTACAGGACAATGCACAGACTTGATTAGTTTTGGGTTAAAATTGGTGCATATTAATTAACTAATTTGCATAATTAGCCAATTTTCAACTACATATATATTGTAACATGTCATGATCTAATTAGTTTTAGGTTTATATACATCTATAATAATTACCTAATTTGCATAATTTAGTTGGGATTGATCATCACATTGTAATGAAACTTTGTACATGTGCTCCCTGAAACAATATACAGACCTAAATCTATGCATAATTGCTTAATTTGTAAAATGGTTTACTGAGGTAGTCCACAGACGTGATTAGTTTAATGTTGATAAACATGCCTGTTCCTGATTTCTTAAAAAAAAATCAGATTTAAATTGAATTCATCAGAGGTACTCTAATTTAATAGACTAAAAACCATGGATGAAAAATCAAATGCATTTTCTTTTTGTATTATAAATTTTGATAATGTAAATCATTGTTTTCATGTTGTGCATTACAAATAGCAGACAACAAGTCATTGAAAATGACACAGTCCCCGTTAAATTAAGTTCTCTTTATACTCGTCATATTAAAGTTGAAACATAAGTTCCAAGTGGCGTATACAACAGATTGTTTATTTACATCAAAACACGTGTTCTGTGTCGTAGTAATATGGCCAAAAATAAAAACAGCCATTATTCGGCCATCTTTGATCTGATTATGAAACACACTGATATATATGATGTATGTGCCAAATACAAATGAAAATGGTACATAAATTGTGGAAATATAGTAGTAAGGCCAAAAAGTCAGATGGCTGTCAATCGGCCATCCTTAACCAGATTTTGAAACAAATTGTCATGGACATGCATCCTAACATGTATAAAGTACATGCATGTACCAAACTTGAATGAAAACTGACAGAGCACGTCTAAGATACTGCATGAAAAAAAAAAATAAAAATGCCTGCCAGTCGACCATCTTTGATCCAATTGCGAAATAAATCGTCATGAACATGTATCCTAACATGTATAATCTATGTACCAAGTTTGAATGACAACTGACAAAGCATGTCCAAAATACAACATTTTCAAAAAACAAGATGGCTGCCAGTCGGCCATTTTGAATCAAATCGCTAAACCACTGCATGTGCATATGTCCCACATAAAGTACTAGGCACATGCAAAGAATGAACGGAATCGGTCCAAGGGATTCTGAGATATGACTCCGGACGGACGCACAGACGCACGCACGGACGAACGAATGGACGGACAGAGACCGAATTATAAGTCCCTGTTTTCGGACTTCGTCCGAATAGGGACTAAATATTAGTTGCTAAAAAGTTCTATTTTCAACTTCTTAAAAACAGCTTCGACAATTTTATATTTAGAAACCTCAAATGAGTCTTAGTTCATTTTGTGACAATACCTTCAATTCTGTGAATATTTTTGGTAAAATATCCTACACAAAAAAATCTCTGCAATTAACAAATGTCCTACTAATAAGACTATAACTTGAATAGTCATTACAACAAAGCTTTGAGGGATTTTATTGGTCACATGCTGATGAATCGTGCAACGAAGTATTGGTTACTGTCGAGCTACAGGTTTGTATAATCTTACCTTCTGTAAAGGTAAAATAGTTTCCCACATTAGTAAAGTGAACATGTTCTACATATTAACCAAATTTATTTCTTAAAATGATCAGAACATTAGGTAGCAACACCAATGTCGTGTTGATACCAACCAGCATGCAAATATTGCACACTGATAACACGTGTATGCAAATTTAAATTCCACAGCAGCAGCATAACTGCAAAACCTGTTTTACGAGTCACTGCACACACAAACAACGTGAAACAAGTGCAATGGCCTATACATTACAATTTTTAGTTCAAAATACCACTAGGCATGTGATTTGCAAAATTCTTTTTCTCACTTTCTCATTAAATGAGCATGCATGTCTAATGACAACCACAATGCATTCTTGGGGAACCATATGACCAAATATAGTCCTAATTCAATGACGAGCATATGCATAATATTCTAACAATTGAATAGATGATTGCAGTTACATATTTGTGAATACTTTCTAGTGTACCCGGTATATTACATTTTTATACAGAAAAGCAATACTATAAATGTCCCAGTATATTGTAGAGCTGTTTTACACCAACATACTATTGATATTGACACATCATCAGCACAAGTTACTTTGTTCATTCCGTCTGCACTCAGAAACCCAGGTTCTGTTTTTCTTCAATAATAAAACATTTTCTCAGAATAATTTGTAATTTTTCTGATTGGCCATTGATAACAGAAAACAAGCATATGTGAAATTTTGTATTTTAACTGGATGCAAAAAGAAATGTCCAAATCCAGTTTTCTTTATATGAGAGGATTGAACTGTGAGATTCGGCTTACCGTTATACTTTTCATAGGTAGTAGCCATTACACGTGATGAGTATTGCATCTGACATTCTAACACGTGGATGATCATTAAAATTGGTGGGATAATACAATGGTACAGAGTAGTCTCTTGCATGTACAGTGACCCGTCACATCTCGGTAAGTTGTGGGTATTTGGGTATGGTGTCAAGAGAGGTAAAACTAAGTCAAGGGTTGCACATGATCTAGCAGTTGGCGAGTCCACTAATTTGTGGGTGGTAAAGATTGAAAAGCTGAGAAAATTTGTTTTTTATCGAAGGTGACCAAGAGGCGAACTGAACAGAAAATGTGCTAAGTTATCGGATAATGACATCAATGAAGCTGTGATGTTTTTCAATGAAGGAAACATACTATAAATAAACCCCTGAGTAAGTCGTGACCACATTAAGTCACGGTCACTTAGCAAGGGGTCACTGTATTACATTACTGATACATTAGTTAAAATTATAATCTGAGAGTACCGAAGACATGGACGAAACGGTAATATCTCAGATGCACGAAATCCCAAATATAATAAATTATGAAAGTACCGGTATAATGCTGCAATTCTTAGTTATTTGTCACACATATACCCGGTACAGTTATTTGGGATTGTGGATATCGCTATAGCAACAAACCAAGCCTTGGATCAGTCTTTATGCAGAGTATCTTTTTGAATCTCTTTACTTATTTGCTAAAGTTGTATTGTCTCATACTGTAAAACCATTTATTTTCATTGACATTCAATTTCACTATTTTGATGTTTGTGTATATTCACTGCGTTTTAATTCCACAAATTTGTCAAAAAAACAATGAGTTTTATTATTATTTCACATATTTATATAGATTTAATTTGGTGGATTTTACTTAGCGGCGAAATTAAAACCAAGTGAATAATTAATACATTTACAGTATATTGTTGGATGCCTTTGACATATTATGTGTCGTCTACCGAATTCTACTTTGTGACAGTTATTCAAGTTTCTCGCAGATTGCTGTTTATTTGTACAGCAGCTACTTTTTAAGTTGATGGATCTCAACAAATTATAGGGGACACCACAACTTTACTAGGGTTTAATTGGACTGCTTCTATATCAAATCTGAATTATATAGATATTCTTAATGGACATGATTATGACTGGTGCTCAGTTGCATCAGCATCTGAGATTTCTACTCCATATTCAGTACTCCGTAATACATGGACTATTTAACTGGTTGGTGTCTCTTTTGCAGGGCAGTCTTTTTGATCATCTACAGTATCATCACACTCATTTACAGATGGTGGTGGGCTTTCTTTAAATGAGTCATCATCTAGCTCTGTATTATCTTCTTGTACAACAATAGCACCGGTTATATCATCCTCTGAAATAGAAGAGAGAAATATCTCACATTTTAAGGATTCACACTAAATAGTAGACCAGAAGTAGTCTATGATCATAATATTTTTTGAAAAATCTATGAATAATATACCAGTGAATTGGTCTTGAGTGTGGGCCTTACATACGAGTCAGTCTGAGCATGCAGATACCCATGATAATGTACTGAAGTCATGGAAACATTCAATCAGAAATGACAAAGAATTCTGTGCCATCTACGTATTTACATAGCAGTTCACCAGACCATTCTTGAGTGCTGATGAGCATGTACTGATGTATATTCTGTTTTCAATGACAAAATATGGCAAGTGGCTGGAGTCAGCATGAGACCTATATAACAAGTGACAATATATTCACTTGAAACAAATATGATAGGCTTCACAAATATCATCTTAATTGAAAAAAATCAAAGCAATAACAAATAAAAATAAATTGATATGTACAAACCTAAAACAAACAATTATCAGTACGCAAAACACAAAACTTGTATTCAATATGCGACATACAATTATCCGCATAATGCTCATGCATATACAAATAATCAACTTTACCATCTTTTGTTTTCTTATCATCTGATCTTGGTTGATTTTTTGCTGATACCTCAGGTCCCAAGAATGCATCTAATTCATCAGAGTCCATGACATCACCAAGGTCAACCTCCTCCACTGACCCCACAGATGATCTTTCACTTTTACGAATTGGAACTGAAAATAAAATCACCAAGAATGATTTAGGATTTTGATTTAGCTTTTCTAGTCTCAAATTTTGTGGAATGCTGACCTTTAGAGTTGACATTCTGTTTTTCCCGAAGACAAAATATTCTAAATTTGAAGCACAGTGGTTTGTCTCGTTGCGCATGTGCGACATTTGTGTTGATAAACATTGATTTTCTAATAATCCAATGCGCTCTTCAAATGGAAATAATTTGGAAGTATGAGTGTTGATCTGGACACAACTTGCACTGAATACCGCCGATGACTCCTTCGATACCTTCCAATCACCTAAAAATTACCTAATTTTAGCTTGGAAATGTCTCAGTTTGTACTTGTTGATCTGCGCAACAGTCAAAGTCGCCATCTTTGTTTATATGAGACCCATATAACTTGCGCATGCGTGGCGTGACGACTACCACCCTTTAATCATTTTAGTATAGATATGTATCAACTGCCAATTTACTCAAGATACTGCATTTCTACTACGAGAAATAAAAGTGAGTAATATTCGACAAAATTAAAATTATTTATTAGCCTGAATGATTTTGTTTTATTTAAAGTACTTGCTGAAAAATAACAAGCAGCCTATCGGCTGAGATAGCTCCGCTGTTAGCAATGCACATTTCAATTAAGGTAGCGAGACTTATTATATGTGTTGAAAATTACGATTTTCACATTTATTTATTATTTGATGAAATGCACTATAAACTT